CTAGAAAAGAACCCTATGCATAGTGTCTGTCTTATTTGGTATAAGACCATCATTTAGAATTCACATGAAGTAGTCATGAAGAAATTGGCATTTGTGAACAATGTTTCTATGGACATCAGAGCTATAGACAAATAGAGTCACTTCATTTCATAAAATTTTACTTCTTGGAATGGAAGTGATGAAAATAGTGATTTAGGGGGAAAACAATGAGGATAAGTAAGAATCAGGAGGAATTTGTATCATAATCATTTGTAATTTAATTTCTTTTTGAGATCTGTGGTAATATTTTTTGAAAGCACATATGTGGTTTTTAAGATACTGTAAGAGAAAAATGTTATTACTACAAAGCACACACGATGGTGTAGATACAAATGCTGACCAAATAGACCCCACGGATTATAAAACTGCATGATCTTCAACTCTCAAGTCTCTTCTCTGTCTGTCTTTCCTTTGAAAAGAATTTCTCTGTTACAGAGTCACTTCTAACTTTTTGATAAAGTTCAACCTAATCCCACTCTCTCAACGTCATCGAGCCTTACTGGAAAGAACATCAAGGTATAGAGTTGGGGTCTGAATATAAATTCCATATTGCTCTCCTTGGGCACATAGCAGGCTCATTTTCTACAGTAAAATATGAATAAATCTAAAGGCCAAATTTACCCATAATATGGGAATGTTGTTAAAATAAAACAAGGTAGTGGATTTGAAAGTACACTGAGGGAAAACATTTCATGCAAATGCCAAATGATATTCTACTCTCACAACCATTTGTGAACTTCTGCTTCTCTACATTTCCAAATCCTAAGTTCTGTGCTTACATATGGTATATTTAAACTCAAACTTGAAAGCATGATGGAAAATATCATTGAAAAATGTGGTGGGATGCTTCGTAATGGAGAAAATTTAGACAGAACTTTTCCTCCTAGTGATAAATATTAAAAATCCTTGATTTGATTTTTTAGTTTTCTAGCTAGCCATTCCTGTTTTGGATGCCATTTGTAGTTTTGAGAATTCAGAGTTTAGGATTTTATTTTTGACTGAAATATACAAGGCACATTTTATAAATATGTACTGTAATTCTCAATATATTATTTTTAAAATCTTTCCTTGTATGTTTGTTCCATTGATTCTAATACAGAAAGTATTGATAGAATACTTTGCTAAATACCTATTCCTCTGCAACCTTCCCTTAGGGGAATTTCTATTCACATCTATTACCATTATTATTTATTCTGTTACATAAAGGGAGCAGTATATAAAACCCCCTCTATAAATACTAATATAATACAAGAGATTGTATACCTAGAGAAGAGGAAATCTTTTTAATTACACTTAAATTGGAATTTAGAAATTCCAATTCAGTTTTATTACTTAAGTTCTATTGCTTAAAAAGAATAAAATGTAATTTTGTGCAAAAAAATGAGAGATTCAGATTTTTTTCAACTGCTATGTCCAATAGTGCTTGGCAACTATGGTTCCTACTATTTATTTGGAAAGATGGCAAACATGTCTTACTTACTGTGACTTGGAATTACTGTCTTATTTTATCCTATGCACTACAAAGAGAGACCCCCAAAGGGCTAAAGAACACAGTGAAATACATGCAATGGCATTTCTTTTCTGGAGAAACTATCTTCAATCTTGATGTGAAGCATCTTAGAGAAAATGTATCTTCAGGGATTTCAATGTGATGTTCTTCAGGGAATGTGCAGAGTGACCTACCACATATGTGCTGAAATAAGTGTGTGTGGCATCAAAATAAAATTCCTTTGCGAGTAGTGAATCTTCCACCATCAAGATATCTCACGATAAAGGTCTGACTTTTCCAGTGATACACAGACACATGCGAGTCTTATTTCAGATATCTTGCATCTGTTCTAATATTGCCAAGACTCCTATTCGTCCACAAAATTTGCTCTACACTCCCATGAAACCTGGAGTAAATTAAAGTCATTGCAGTAATAATTCAGAAATGTAGCATGATTGAAAATATTAGTCTTTCTGCCCTAATATTTCTTTTCAAATTCAACCATACATGATTACAGAACTTTCCAGTTCCAACAGGATGAAGGATTCCTTTTGGAGGCTCTTTTGTTAAAAATAAAATAAAGTTGCTATCTAGCTATTCACCTATATATCTTAATGATAAACTTATCCAAAAGAAACCCTGACTTCCTTAATTTCCCCAAACACCTCTATTCTCAGGAGGCTACCATTTCTCACTGGGTTTTTCCCTCATACATTTCTTTCTTCATACAATTTAACTGATTAACAATATTATACAAAATATGCATAAAGTGTTTTTATTTAAAGCAGAAAAAGAGATGATCCTATAGAGAATACTGATTAAATATGTAGGAAAACATATGTAAAGCCCTTTACATAGAATCCAAGATCAAAGATGCCCAATAATTGTTAAATATTGTTCTGCATTCTACATTCTTGTCAGTGTTTTGTTTTGTTTTTTGAAAAAGATTTATTTATTTATACAAGAACTTGGGAATAGGCCAGAGGCGTGGGAGGGTGAGAGGATTCACCAGAGACAGAGCGGGAGCAGAACAGGCAGACTGACCAAAGACACTGCTGAGGGGAGCAGCGGGCACGATAAGAGAGGTCTGCTGCACCATGTGGCCATCTCCCTGGCCGACTGGGAATCGAACCCGCGCTGCAGAGGCTGTAGACAGCTTCACAGCACGGCGCTCAACCCGCTGCGCCACCTGGAAGGCCAAGTTTAAGGTACTATAAAAATTGAAGTCCCTTTGAATCAGTACAAAACAGGATTATTTTCTTATTTAACTGTATATGTCTTACTTTATTTGAAATCAGAATCAAATCCAAATCTACTTCCAAAGGGACAGGGGAGAAGAAAGAAAGAAGGAAAAACACTTCATTTTTGTTAACTGTAGAGAGTCAGTCTTGTATTGTAAGCAGCACTCTTTCCTTGTCCAGAAAAATTCATGGATAACAGGCCTCAGCAAATTCCATTCCCTAATAATGTCAGAGTTTACTATGGGTAGATAGTTTGTTATTCCATATTGTTTTAGCTGCATTTCTAATCTGGGTTCTGATTATCATTGGTCCTAACTATTGTTTCTTGTCTCATCATTCACTTTTAAATCCCTATTCTTACATATATGATCATCTAATGCTACTACTGGCTTCTGTTGCTAAGATCATATTAATCTTTTCTGAAAAACTCTTTATTGTCTAAATTACTTATTTTTCCACATGGCGAATTATTCCCTCTAATATTCCAAGATGTTCATAATTTTGAGAGGTGGTTACACAAAATTAAAATGGAAAAATTTCCTTTTATCATAAAAGCTTTAACTTGAAATACTAAAACTATCATCTATCAACATTCCCATTCCTATACCTATTGCTCTATTTCTCCATTTTCCTTACCTGCTGCTCTGTGACCTGACCTTTGACTACATTCTCATCTGCAGTCATTCCTCAACTGTCTTCAGTACTTAGCTCAAAAATCTACTTTACTCATAAAGGCTTTCTTATTCTTGTAATAGAAAATGGAGAAATAGAATTTTCCAGAAATATCATTGCACACTGGTTACAACTTGCACACAATAGTTTTGATGGACCCTTTTCCTTACCTAAAAGTTTAGGTATAGTCATATGAACATGATTACATATATTTAACTCAATTTTTCTTCTGTCAGATCCTCTCCAAGGTAAAGAGTGCCCTATAACACATCCCCTAGGCTTCTCCACACAGCTCAAATGAGTGGAAAATACCAACACTCATTTAAATATATTTTAGATGGTTCATAAATGAAATGGGTTGATGCATGACTAGGTATATTGGTCCATTATTTAAAGACAACAATGAACCTTCACCTTGTCTGCAGTTCTTTAATCACAACTCACATGAATTCCCTCTTTCCAAAAGGCTAGTAAGGATGGTCAGATATGGAGGAAATGATACTTGGCACTGACAAGAGAGGCAGTAAAAATAGAATCTTCAGGACAACAGTTTTTTCTATGTTCTTTTGTAGTGGTATTAAGGTTTATAGTGTTTGATTTACTTGTTCCATAGTCTGCCTACTCTTTGGTGACAAAGTCACATCTGCTTGATCGTCCGTTTATTAGCTTAACCAAAGGCATCTTGGCACCTGACCCCCACCGAGGATAAAACCACAAGTTTAAAGTCAAGCTGTCACATGATTCACAGGGACGCTTGTTAGTCACCAGCTACTGATGCAGATGACATCTTGTTACCAGTTTGTCGTTGCTCACAATACAATCTTTATATCCTTCACACACAAGATGGAGTGTTATGAATCCCTGGTTAATTTTTCTAGGTGGGAAGTAATTTCAAATTAGGTAACTTCAAGCGTTTAAATAAACAACTAACCCAATGATAATGGAATTGGGAAATAGGCCCTAAAATGGGGTAATTTAAAATGGCATGAAATCCCTGGGTAAGATAAAAGAAAGTTCCTTTTTCTATTGATAACACTTCTAGGGTAGAAAATGGCACCTTACGATGGTCAGCTTGTTCTTATCATTAGTTTCACAGTGTGAAAGCCTTTGAAAGAGACCTGGGTTACTCAAGAGAGTTCTGGAACAGAGCAGATAGCAAAGGAGAGTAACAGCCTTACCAGTTGGGTAATTCTAGTTAGGGCACAACTAGAAAAGTTGGTCTTGGCTTGTGCTTCTAAATTGGAAAATTATTTCTAATTATATGTCCAGAGAATGCTTTTTGTTTGTTTGTTTTCATTAACCTGGGATCCAGTAATTTATCAGAAGACAAGTATCCTTCTGACCAATATAGTTCAGAACTTTATGTATAAAAACTTATTCCTTTATTTGGTTAGTTATAATTCTTAAAAATCTAATTCACTTACTATGAAGATTTTGCGTGCAGTTTCCTAACTAAATAGTCTTCCTCCTTCTTTCTCACCATGGGTTCATTTTTTGCTTTGCAAACTTTCCATATTAGTTACTTTATAATTTTCTATTCTCATATCTTTATTCCTTAGGAATACTGAGCAAACAGATACAGAAGACAACAAAGTACCTCTCACCTGTAAAGATAAAGATCAATAGGTAATAAATAGGTGACAAAGAACTTCAATATTCATGGGAAAAGATAAAACCTTCCTAAAAAAAAAAAGACATTCAATGTGATGTTAATTAAAAATCCACAGACCAACACTGACAACAAAAAATATGGCTGTATCTATGCTTGAGGTTTAGATTTCCTAGAAATGCAACGTCTCTTAGATTTCAGAGCTAGAAGGGACGTTTGATATCAAGTAGACCAATCTCTTCATTTTACAAAATGAAAGACTTGAGACTCAGAAATGCTAAGGAATTATCCTCGGGCTACACAGCTATTGACATCTGCTCTCATTTTAGTTCTCTTTCTGAACAATCATGTCTCCCACAGAAAAGTGAAAGAATGAAGATAAATAGCTGCGTTGCAAAGATATGTACACATAAAACCTGATGATTTGGAATGAGGAAGACAAGAAAAAAATAAAATAGTATGAAGAAAAAGTATGCATAGAGATGTATTTAATAATCCAACATAGATTCTCGTTATCCAAATCATAAAATTTTCAAATGACAATTATAGATTATTTATCAATAAGTAAAACAGACCCATTGTTCTGATTCACCACACATTATACAATCAGCTGAAAACCCCTATGAAGGCATCATGGATTAGAAATGATGTGGTCAATGTTCCAATATAGTTTCTTTCTCATGTAGAATTTCTCCCAAATGATTATTTTTTCAGTGCTTTAATTGATTTTATTTTTAGATCATTTAAAACATAGGACTTCCTTTCTTTCTTTGAAAAGATAAATTCCAGTGTAATCTCTCTTGGGATTCAAAATAGAATACTTGGGAAATTGTATGCCCCAAAGAAAACTTTTTGCATGGCATCTGACCAGAAGACTACCAGTTATAATCTTAAGATGTGAAATCGTTAGGGAATCTCCTAATGTCACTTAACAAACGGCATATAAACAGGGCAAGCAACACTATTGCGCTCCTAATTAACTAACCAGGGCCATGTGGTATTCGGGATATCATCTGGGAAGGACAGACCTCCAGGATGCCTGAAATGTAAAGTATATTCAGGCTTGCTTGCCTGGACAAATCCCCAGTAGAAGAAAATGTATAGTGCACTTACTTGGATGCCATGTAAGGAGTTACTAGCCAGCTGAGCAGAGTGAGTGACATTTGGTTGAGGAAGGGTGTGGGCACAGTACTCCAGGCAATCTGGCTTTCAACTTCTCTAGTATTTATTTGGCAAACTCAGCCACCGTTCCTTACTACTCCCCCTCATATCTGAAACAGTCATCTTGGGGTGAGATGAGTATAAATTTCACATAATGCTACTTAAAGAGCTTTGCAAGGGAAACAGATCTGTGAAAACATGATCAGGTCAAACAGGCATGGAAGATAGCATCATCAACTTTGATCTGGACTGACGGAACTCAACCAGGTCTGCTTCTTTGTGTTCCTGAGACTCTCCTTTGTGCTCAGATGAACCCTAATCAAGTCGAGCCCTCATCAGCCTCTTCGAAGAAGGGAGAGGGAACACACCATGAGACAGAGGCTCCATTTTCCTCAATAAGTTGAGGATTTATGAGTACTAGAAGAGAGAAAGGCATTCGGCCATCTTCTTTGTTTGCTCTTTCTATTTAGGGAAAGGTCAAGTCTCCCCAGTCTGATATGGGGTGGAGAGAAGAGTGAATATTCCCAAATGACTCCTTGGCTTTTACCCTCTTTGTTCCTCCTTTGTATCACCTGCTTATTCAAGTCAAAATTAGGGAATCAGCTTTAAGGAATTAGGGAATTTTCTGATGCACAGAATTCAAAGGAGAAGACACATTCACCCACGTGCACACACACACCCACACACAAATAAATTGGGGGGGGGCCTCTTGTGTTCCTTCAATGTCATTCTTTTGCTTTTCTTTGTGCTTTAATCAGGACCATAAGTAGGGCATGTGACTAGGACAAGGAGGTTACCGTTTGAAGGTGGTAATGGAATGGGTTACATTTGTTCCATTTCCTATGCTCTTTACATTCATGAGATCTTTATCTTGAAAACGGATTTGTGCTATGCCATTTCCTGTTCTTGCTACAATCTTTATCATGACAAGAAGGTGCCAGGTTTTAACGCCTGGTGTTATATTTAACTGTTTCCAATAACTGCTGCTCAGAGTGACTCTTCTTCCCATATCGTATTGTCTGTGCAGAAAGTAAAGGTAGTGCTGTCAGGTATTTGAATGAGAGGATGCTGAGTGATATTGAGGCGCCAAAATAGCAGGGCAGGGACACATACCTTCTTCCTTCCGTATCCCAACCTCACCAACAGGAGAACTTTCACAAGAGGCTCTCGCTTGCTTCTGTGTCCTCCACATATACTTCACACAAGCTCTTTCTTATCTCTAGCATATCCTACCCCAAATGACACTCCTAGTGACAGTCAGATTGTATAACTTAAGGGGCAAGGCAGTGCAGTTTCCAATTATCATCAAAGAATTTCCCCAGCATTACCATGCTGGGACTTCAGGCGGTTGATATGGATTAGATCAAAAATAGAACATGGTATAATAAGAACCTTTGCTTCCTGGCATGAACTAGAATCAGAATAGCTAATGGTAAAACACTTTCAAGCTCTCCTTTTTTAAAAGTAGGTTTAGTTCTTATGAAAGCTGCTGAATTGACAGCTGAGGGTACACTGGAAAGAAAAATGATAAGCTTCCCTTCTCTGCTTTTCCCAGTATACCTTTGGCCTGCCCTGGAGGGGATATCTCAAGAAGAGAGAGATTAGTTCTTTCTCCAGATACTTTTAATCTTTAAATCGGGAGTAGGAGTATTATCCAAGTTGCTTATTATGAAGAATATATCAGGATGTGACAATGTTTTCCCTATGATCAAAGTTTGATTTGACAGATCATGTCATATCAGCAACTGTAAAACCACCCAACTAGAGCCAGTTTTGAAATCATGTGTGTCTTCTCATAAGTCAAGTCCTGTCTGCTCCAAGTGAATTTTGCAATGTATTGGTTGTGGTCAGAATTTCAAGAACTCAACCTTGAGCGGGAGATAGGGTAGAGCATCTGGTTCATAATCTGTACTTATGAAGAATTCAGTCATGGCTAATGATGACCCACCTGTAGTTCTTGGTAGAAGTCAGAACAATGGGGCTGACAAGCAAAAGCTACCACCTTCAGTCAGAGGTTAAGGGGTGGTGGGGTATGGATAATTTTCTAAAACTTGATAGAGTAGAGGTAAGAATTTACCCTCTTTCATTATACAGGATTTAACTGATATTCGTATTGGGGTGACATATTCAGATGTGAAGTGACAGTTCATTGATGTTAGGAGGGTTCTATAATTTCTGCGAGTCTATATACATTTTATTGTGAACATTATGAATTATTTTTATCTTCCAAGAGTATACCTTTTTCCTAATTTTAAATGAGATCTGTGACATCCCACTGCTTCTGACAGTCAAGTCTCTTTCAGTTCTGGAATCTGTTGTCACTGTCTCACTTAGATAATACTTAGAGAAAAAGGGAGTGGATTACTATTCACACTTCAAGTTGAGTTCTCACTTCCAAAGCTTTCCTCATTTTGTATTTGGGCTTTCTTGTTTCCTGCATTTTTTTTTTCAAGTTTGAATTTTGTTTAAATGACATGTGTGGTTTACTTGCTGTCTAGGATAGTATCTTCATAATTTTATTGACATATAGGTACATTAATGTACTCATCACACAATGTAAGGAAAGAAAGGATTCTCTTAAGGAATACTATCATTATAAGTAATGGAAACTAATAAATGTATCACCTAACTTATAAAGGATGGAAGGCCGCTATCAAATATAACAGTTCCCTTTGAAAAATAATCTGTAACTTCCAATACAAGTGTAACTGCATTGTCTACTCTGATTTTTAAAATGAGAGAGAGGAAGAAGTTAAGAAAAGCTCCTCCTTTTCCACCTAATATTGTTCTGGGGAGTTCATAAGGTCAGGAACTTGACACTGGTTTCGAGTGGAAGCCAGTCAAGCAGGATTTCTTTGCCCTCTGGACAAATGGTTGGCCTACTTTAGGAATTTTGAATAATTATTGCTGTTCTCTTCAGGCAGGAGAAATTTACCTTTCACAAAGAGTAGAGCTTGTGGCATTAACTTAATCCTGGTGCCTGAGTGCACAAAATCAGTTTTGCTCTGCAGAGTTATTATTTGTAATTTATGATTCTGAGACCTATTTTATCTCACTGCATTGCCTAGAGTGTGACATAGTGGCCTGAACTCTGAACTTCCTGGAAAGAAATCCCCTCATAAATGTAAGGTAGCAAGAAGAGCAATTGTTTCTACTATGTGAATGTCATTTTTCTCTAAGGAGCATGGAGACTCAATTTTGTGTCCCCAAAATCACTCAAGAGTTTTTCATCTTTGCTCTTTTCCTATTGAAACTGCTCCTGACAATTCTCACACAGATAACCCTGTAGGAGCTGAACACTCTGCAGCACCACAAAGTGTATGAAGTCAGTTGTCTAAATTATGTTGTTAGGAAAACAGTAGCGGAAGAAACGAAATTCTTCCATGGTCGGGTTCTTGAACAAAATTAACTTCTAACTTGACATGAAGCGGATATTGTGGTATATTAGCAAACACTGGCCAGTATTGCCAGCACTTTTATTTTCATCAGAAAAGCAAAGTTCCCTTCATTTTTTACTCTCTCACTATTCCTTGGTGATTTCTATTGTTTTGGAATCATTCGCTACCATACATAACAAGTACTATTAACCATATGGGATTACCCATCTAAATTCCCAGGGAACAATGAGTAGCTGTGAATATTTTTGTATGCCTGCTATATTATTGCCTAAATGCTGCCTGAGATTACTAGACTAATTTTCACTGAGAATTCCCTAGCAATTGGTATCTCAGGAATGATTCTACTTCTAATGAGAAGCCCATTAACTGAGGGAGAATATATCAAAGTATTGTTTCACAGGCACTATATAGACTTAAAAGTACATATACACTTAATATACTTAAAAGTACACTTAATA